AGCAAGTACTTTGACAAGTTACATGACAAGTAGTTCGGGATTTAAATATTGATAAATCTATGTAAGATCTACTGAATTCACTATTAAAGCAAGTACTTTGACAAGTTACATGACAAGTAGTTCGGCATTTGTATATTGATAAATCTATGTAAGATCTACTGAATCTACTATTAAAGCAAGTACTTTGACAAGTTACATGACAAGTAGTTTGGGATTTAAATATTGATAAATCTATGTAAGATCTAGTGAATCTACTGCCAAAGCTAGTAATTTGACAAGTAGTTTCGGTTGATGAACGATGGGCGTTGAAAAATAGCAAATTCGAATAGATTTTACACTCGATGTGGCTTCAATTAAACACTTTTTATTATTACTTTGAATTCACCATTGTGCAACTCTTCGAACGTGCTCGAAAAGGGGGGCGATCAATCACCAGAAATGATAATGAACGTAGAGAAAAAAGTAAAATGTTGGTAATAGTTGGGCGGCAACGGAAGATGATCGAAGATCTGTTTTTGTACTACACTGTAATAGCAGTAGTTTTCTACTGTTGAATGAAACCACTTCAAGCGTGTGAGTTATGACCTAAAGTTTGTGATTTTTTTTTGTGATTTTTGGTTGAATTAGGGCCCTTTTCAATGCGCACACGTGAGGCCAAAAAGGTGACACTTTTGCCTTTTGCGTCCATCACAATAATAATTTCAAGCTTCCGAGCGTTTACCGAAAGAAGTCGTTACATTATATAAAATTTTGAAAACCTTCTTAGATCTTGAGCACGACCCAAATCATACGATTTGATTCAGAAGAAGGAGGAAAAACGGAAAGTCAATTTAGTGGAAAATTCGAGTTCAACCAATTGGAAATAATAATAATTTTTGTACAAGTAATTAATGAATGATTAATTATGATTTTTTTTAAATAAAATCAACTCGAATTGAATCAAAATTTAAACTTGTTTTAGAGTGAGAAATAAAAGGCAATAAATATCACACTTTTTTTTTGTATCTCACTATTCTTTATTTTCTGTTTTCAAAGTCTCTTAATTAATTTCGATTCTCGAGACTTGAGCGTGAAGCAATAAATTGTTCGTTTGCAGCTGTACGCATTCATTATTTCATTAGGCTTATTTTTTATACATGATTTTCTCCTGGTTCTTATGACACTCTTTATACGTGTGTGTGTGTAAATGAGAGAGCAAAAGTGGACGTGGGGTGCGGAGAAAGGATGGAAAGGCCACCCTTCGTCGCGGTAATTTATCTGTCGAAAGGGTTTGCACACCAAAACAGTCTTTATTTGCCTACAATTAGTTACNNCATACACTCGTTGTTTTCTTTTCTCGACTCGACCCGAAAATTTATGAGCTGCAATTAAGTTTTTACGAGTTCCCTCGAACAATTCGCAGCTAATTTCTGCATGCACTCACCCGTTACGTAAATGACCAGATCAGAAAACTGGTTTCGATGAAGACTTCAACAGATTTTGTTCAAAAAAAAAAGTATGTGATTAATTCCAATTTATTTTTTTTACTTTATAGTAACTTTAACCTATTGTTAAATATTCCGAACCGTACGTTTAGCTTCATTATTCGATGATTTTAACCACTTAATCTAAATTAAAGATGTTTGTACCACAACAATACAATTTTATTAAGATAAATTTGATAATCTAATAAATTGTATTTTTTTCTTATTTATTAAATTGTGTTTTGCATAAAACCGTTGGTAGAAATGGTTAAATTTTTGCACTTATTGAAAGAATTCGTTTGTCGGCGTCCAAAATTCTTTATCGATGAAAAATTTGAAGGAAAGAAAGGAAAAGTTGTAGAGAATACTTTAACCCTTCTCTCTTTTGATATTCGCATTGGGGTGGTTGTGAATTCAGAATCGAAATCTGTAATCGATCGCATCTGAAACGCATCCACCCTTTAACAATTAACCCCGACAGTGATCTCTGCACGAACGTCACAATACGCATTAAATTCAATTACTTATCAGCACATCTCTCACCAGTTCTTCAATTCATTACACAATGTACGTTCAATAAGTTATTTTTATGTATAATCAGTTTAAATATAGCAGTTTTTCAATATTAAATAATTACATCCAATTATTTCTATTTTTTTTATAAATCTAAATTCAACTTTTATATTTATGTGCACTAAATACTAAGTTGTATACTAATTTCACAAAAAATAATAATCCAAGTTACCAACATTATGTTTAGATGTTCAATTGTTGTTGTTTTCAAGAGTATTTCAAAATATTTTTATTTTACTCAATTAGGCATAATACTTTAATTGACTGCTAAATACTAATTGTGTCTCTATTTGAATCACTACTAATTGATCTTTTTCGTCCTTTTTATGAGATTTTAATAGCATTTGATAATGGCAAAAGAATTTGAATGGTTTCTTCAGTATTTTACAAAATACTCCAAAAATACTCATTTTTATATCCATTTCAATCATTACTAATTGATCTGTTTCGTCCTTTTCATTAGATTTTAATAGCATTTGATAATGGCAATATAATTTGAAGGCTTTCTTCAGTATTTTACAAAGTTAATCAAAAGTACTTAATTAATTGATTGCTAGGAACTAATTACTTCTCAATTTGAATCACCTTCAATTATTAATTGATCTCTTTCATAGGACTTCGGATATGATAATAGAATTTGAATGGTTTCTTCAGCATTTTATATAATACTACAAAAGTATTTTCATTGATTGCTAAATATTAATTTTTATATCTATTTCAATCATTACTAATTGATCTGTTTCGTCCTTTTCATGAGGATTTCATAGCATTTGATAATGGCAATATAATTTGAAGGTTTTCTTCAGTATTTTACAAAGTTAATCAAAAGTACTGAATTAATTGATTGCTAGGAACTAATTTCGTCTCAATTTGAACCACCTTCAATTATTAATTGATCTTTTTCATAGGACTTCGGATATGATAATAGAATTTGAATGGTTCTTCAGCATTTTACATAATACTACAAAAGTACTTTCATTGACTGCTAAATACTAATTGTATCTTCATTTGAATCACTACTAATTGATCTTTATCGTCCTTTTCATGACATTTTGATAGCATTTGATAATGGCAAAAGAATTTGAAGGGTTTCTTCAGTATTTTACAAAATACCCCAAAAAATCTTAATTAAATCATTGCTAGGTACTAATTATTAATTGATCTCTTTCATAGGACTTCGGTTATGATAATAGAATTTGAATGGTTTCTTCAGCATTTTACATAATACTACAAAAATACTTTCATTGATTGCTAATTAATAATTGTATCTCCATTTGAATCACCAGTAATTGATCTTTTTCGTCCTTTTCATGAGATTTTAATAGCATTTGATAATGGCAATAGAATTTGAAGGCTTTCTTCAGTATTTTACAAAATGTTTCAAAAAATCTTAATTAAATGATTGCTAAGTACTAATTATTAATTGATCTCTTTAATGGGACTTTGGTTATGATAATAGAATTTGAAGGGTTTCTACAGCATTTTACTAGTTTCATATCAATTTGAATCACCTTCATCCGCTAATTGATGCGAATTTGATGGGTTTCGTAGCCCAAACTAAAAAAAATAATAAACAGGATCATAGATCTAAAGACCCTCGGGGTTTAATTAAAAATTAAAGTGTGTTTGCTTCCTGGTCTTTAGCGCGCAAGGGTTTTCCTGCAACCACTGCTGCATCTGAAGTGGGTTGTTTTCATGTAAATATTACGAGGCTTCCGATTGTTGGGAATGACAATTAATTGGTCGAGAGAGTGAGTGAGGGTGGATGTTGATGATAATGATGAGGTGGCACTTGAACTCTCCCGTACGTGTGGGAAACGAAAGCAAACACAAGAGATGCACTGAGGGTGGTTTCCAAATAAAAACGAGATGGACTAAATGCATACCGAATGAATGGGATAGAGATGGATGTAGTGTTTTTCAGGTCACGTGTCCCCATAACAATTGCTACCGCTAATATGGATGGGGGAGTTGTTGCTTGCTTACTTGATATTTCATCACATTATATCGACTATACTTCAGCAGCAGACATGTGTGGACGGACGGAAGGACGGCCGTCCTGGACGCACGCACGCACGGACATATGTTTCGGTGCGTTAAATTATCGGGCCTTTACTGCTTTATAAATCTAATTTAAACTCCCAGGAGGGTGGAATGTTCCACCCCAACGGACGCCACTCCAAATCAATACGAAATACAATAACCCTTATATAAACACACACCAAAACACAGAGTTCATATCTATTGAGAATACACGATCATGCGAACGAAAAAGCGCGTAGTATTTCTGCAAACAAACTAAGTTTCTTTTCAACAGAATACATTTGTATTTTTCGCTTTATGGACAAATATGAAAAGATAAAAATCTTACATTAAAATTGATTCTAATTATCAGTATGAAAAATTGAAATATTGACTATTAACTATTAATATATAGACTTTATTTTTATTAATAACTTTCAACTATTAATAATTCGTCATATAATGTAAATTAAACTAGATTTGTATACGAAAATTACAAAAAACATTAATTATCATTTATAAAAATATTTTCTGAAAAAAAAAATTTTTTTTTAATAATTTTCAATAACAAATCAATCTATTAGAATGTGAATAAACTTTCTTCTTGAATAAATATTTTTAAAAAAATATGTAATTCTTTGAATTTTTATAATAATTATTGAATTTGCATTATAAATTACATTTGAAAAAGAAAAATTACTTTTTCCAAAACTAGACCAAAACGTAGAATTGTTTAAAATGTATGTTGTTTAAATAATGAGATTTTAATGTTAAGACAAAATATTGCATTAAAATGAGAGAAAAAAATCTTTTGAACTTACGTAATTTTTACTAAAGTATTATGATTGTATCGTTGCGCCATCTATCAGAGAATAGTCACTCTTCATTGATGTTGAAGCCATTAGGATATAGGGTTTGATAGTGAAATGAGACTATATTAAATCAGTGTACCATTATTTAATTTTATTTTGAAAATATTACATGATTACTTATAAGATTTTCCCGATTCTCCCACAACTGCAGGCTTCTCTTTACAATTGTATTCCTTTTGTACAAATAAATAAGTTTAAATAGAAAACAAACAGAAAAAAAAATGATCAATAAATATACAGACAAGAGACATACAACTAAGTTAATGACTAGATTTAAGTACAAAAATTCACAGTAGAAAAATTCGCAAATGCAAAGAAAACCAAAGTTTGTAATTTGATTAATGAAATGAAGAATATAACAGGATGTAGAAAACATAATGTAGCCTACGTTTCTCTATATGTAGATATATACTATATAAAAAAAAATGCCTTCGCGGTTTACGAACGTAATAATAATCATAAAACTGTGTACACACACTCTCTTTCATTATTTTTTTTGCTCCACTCCACAAACTATAATATCCAACTTCAATTAGCTAAACAACTAAACAATGTCCAACAGAATTTAAGCTCACATCGATCGAACGAACATCCTTTCAGTCTATATAATCCTATAATATACATATAATATAATATATTCATTTAATCTGTGTATTCCTGCATATATTTTATTTTTTTTAAATTTTATTCTTTAAAAAAGAAACGTCTTTTCTTTCCGTTTTACTGGTCCTTTATAATTATTCCCAAAGTAGTTTGCGTCGTGTATTTTGAATAGCCATCATCATCATCATCATCATTAGCGAAATCTGTTAAATCATAAGAAACATTTATTTAAACTTAACAAATCTTCGCACCAAATCTCCTTCCATCAGTCTATCTCAATCATTGAACACAAAAAAAAGTAAACAACCAAACTTCGTTTTAGTATGCGAAGCTTCAACTAAATGTATACAGTCTTCAATTAATCCTTCCCTTTTAAATATATATATATTTCTTCTTCTTTCTTGTTTTTGATTTGCGAACTTAAATTGAAATTCAAGCGTTTAAAATATTCGAATCTTGATATGCTAATTCATTATTGCACTGGTTCGTCTCTTCCACATCGTCGTCATCTGCAAACTTGATGTTGCTGTCCAAATCCGGGGATGAAAGCTTCTCAACTTTAGTCTCTTTCTCCTTGTGCACTCTAACAGGAGATCCGAGCTTCAGTTTGCTGAATTCCTGAAGCTGTATGGAAACCACTTTGTTGTTGACGTTTTCGTTCGGTGAGATGCGTTCGTACATGAATTTGACGCTTTCGCTGGACCCCGACTTGTTTTCTATTATAACAAGGGGATGTAGTTTCTTGGATTTCTTCGGAGACATCTTTTTGATCTCTTCTTCGGGGGATTCTTTATTGCTGCCCGGATCCGCTTGCAATTTGGGAAGTATATTCTCCGGATCTTCGGGGATGATCTCACCGGATTCATCTAGTGGTGGGATCCAAACTAAGAACGCAGGATCCATTCCTAAATACGATCCAGGCGCAGCTCCGGCGTTGACAACGTTGTAATCGTAATAATCCAATTCCAGATCGACGCCTGGTCCCGCCAAAGAGAAATCCGATCCTGGTCCAGCGAGAAGTTTCTCCCTGTTCTTCTTCTCTTTACTCTCTTTGGGATTGGTGCTGCGGATTGTTGCAGTGCTGATCATGCTCGCAGCAGGACTATAGCAAGCCTAAAAAAATCAAAATAATTGGATTAATGGAAAGATCATTTTTGTTGGTAATTGGCGTAAAGCATAAAAGCTGGTTATGAATGAAAAGGGAATGAGTATCAAAGGGAAATTGTGACTTCCAAAAGTGCTCCAGATGATTGTGCAATTATTAGTTTTTTTTTGTCAAAAAGAACTACCGGATCGCTTTTGGAACGTCGCTGATCGTCGCATGCGCTCACATTGCTCAATATTGAGGTTGAACTACTGACGTGACTGAAACGGCGCAAAAAAGGCTTCCGATCTTCACCGTCAAGTTCTTTCTCTGTGGACGTGTCCTTTTCGCTGATCACCGTAGAGGATCTCTTCAAAGTACCGGTTTGTTCCTCACACTGAGAATGCGAATACTCGCTCAGACTCTGCGGAAGACCGGTAACCGTTGTATCTTGAGGTGTTATAGTGCTCGAACTGCTAATGCTCAATGTCTCTTCCTCTTGCCTACGATAATCACTACAGTTTAATAATTCTCTATCAACTAATTGAAATCTCTTACGCCAAAGTAACTTCGGTCTCTTCGCAATCCATGGATTCCCGTAGTAAGGTGTGTTTATTCCTCGATCTAATGTGAGGTCTCAATCTGGTTAAAGAGATCACCTCTGAAAGCAAGGTAGCGTTCGAGGAAGCTCGCATCGTCAAAGGCAAACTAGCGCAAGAAGCTGAAACTCTCAATCATTAACAAAAATCTACAAATTAAACTCATGATTACTACCGGTCGGATCTGCTAAAGAATCTTGATCATCGGCTTGGGCTATCTGATACTTCCTGTATCTGAGCATGTACTGGGCACCTAGCAAAGCTGTAGCTATGATGAGACCGCTGAGGAAAAATATAGCGGCTATATGCACCGAGGTTAACTTCAAAGAAGCCAAAGGAATCACTCCAACGCCTTGCGCTATTGGAATAGCAGTTAGATTCCTATCCTTTCCTGCAAATTGAAATACATTAATTCTGTTTATGTTATTTACAAATTAGATAACTTACTGAGTTGCGTGGCGTGCGCTAAAAATCCTCCGCCACAAAACTGATTACTAGTTGATATCTCATCAGAGTAAAATTCCAAAAGCAGACTTGAACAAGTAGAGTTTACGACGGCCGGTGTACTTTCCGGATCTCCGGTTAAATCTGCTAGGAGAGTTGCGGAGAGTGAACTACCATCTCGGATCTTCAACCATTGGGTGCCGCATGGTAAATGGAATTGCTCCACTCTAAATTCTATGATGTATTCTTCGTCGGCCTAAAAATTAATACAAAATAATTTAAATTTGTCTTTATGAATATGGAGATGTTATGTGTCGGAGTTATGTCAATTGTAGTTGGAATGTCCAGCGAACATTTATGTCACGTACAATGTAAATGCATCATACTATGTTTAATTTAGTTTTAAGCTTTTGCATCTCTAGAACAACTAGTAAAGTGTATGTGTGCATACTTGTATCAGCCAGAATGTTCTTCCAGGGCAGCTCTGTGATGATGTGGCTAGAAGCCTTTTCGGTTTCGCCTGACCCAAGTGGACGACGCAACCGCATCTGCAATAGGGACCGACTTCCGCCTGTACTTCCGGCATTTCTGCCATCGCCACTTCCGACCCGGACATTCCGCTGGCGTAGAAACATTCCCATTGGTTGCCCAGCCCGACGCCGCACTTTTCCGTCTCCACCGCAGCTCCCTGAAACAATAACAAACATTGTCAAATATCAACAGCAATTAAACTGGATGAAAGGGATCGATTGGAAGAAATAAATAATGTCGAATGAGAGAGATTGTAGAGACGTGTATTAATGATCTTTGACTATTGCAAAATCGTTCAAATTGGAGCCATCGTCGCCTTCCTCTTCATCCTCCTCCTCGGTGACATGTGGAGCAGTTTCAGTGTTCTGGCTATCTGGATGCACGTCGTCCTGATCTTCGCTTGTATCAGCATCGAAGAACACTTGGCTTTCCTCCTCCGATGGTACAATCGATGAAACGATATCCTCCTCTTCGCTCTCTTCGATATCGCCGGGCACTTCGTAAGCTTCAGATTCCTGCATGGCTAAGAAATCATCGAAACTAGCTCCAAGCTGCACATCGACGTTCCTCCTGATCGGAACTTTGGAACGAACTTCGACCTTCTTAGGCACGAAACCTAAATCGCCCATCATGTAAATATCTGAGCTGGACTTGATCGACACGTCCGAGTCGCGTCTCAAGCTCTTATCCCTCGCATCATTCATCAACTCGTACAACTGCGTTATCAGCTCGTCTTTATTAATGTAACTTAGTCTCCTTCCACCATCCTCGCCTTCGAACTCTTCCTCCTCTTCTCCATCCTCTTCCTCGGCGCGAACTCCACGGTCTTTAATCGCGTTCTTGATATGATAGATGGCCTCACTTAAAACGCTATTGATCCAATTCAGCTCATCCTTAGACTGCACCAACCTTCCATTGAGATTAGCCCGTTCGCAACGACTGGCGTGCAGATTCTGCTCCAACAAGCGCACCTTATACTCCAAAGTCAATATAGACCTCTTGCTCACTTCCAAGTCTCTGGCGTATTGAGTAGTCTTGAAATCCATCTCGTTGTAGTTCTGCACTTGCTTACTCAATTTATCATATTCTTTAGTTAAATCCGTAACCACTGCATTCTGGGTTTTGACTCTAGTAACGGCGCGTTTCTTCTCGTTTTCGTGCAGTTCGCACTGCAACCTCAGCGTTTTATCGCGTGATTTCAATTTTTCGTTTTCAGCTTGCAGAATCTTCTGCGTCTCCAACATAGTGTTCAACTCGTTGTTTATGGCGATATTCTCCCTGATCACTCTATGAGTTGTAGCTGCTACTCGCATATCTGTAACGTCCTGGAATTCGGTGGAGAGCTGAAGCAGTCGCGCCTCCATTTCCTTCTTGAGTTTATCTTTTCCAATAACAAACTTCCTCTCTATAGCGTAGATCTCCCTTTTGTGTCTAATCTCTTGCTCTTCGAGCGCGTTCTCCTGTTCCTCGTACTTTCTCATCAGCTCGTCCCTCTGCAGCCTGAACTCCTCCAAAGCGTTCAACTTTCCCATCAGCAATTTGATTTCAGACGTGAGCTGCTCTTGCATCTGTTTATACTCTTGCTCCATTTCGTAAGTCTTCTGCTTGAAATCCTCGATTTCCTCATTGCGCGTCGATTGAACACTCTTCAACCTCTCCTGAAGCTCGTTAATTTCATCGATTTTATCCTGAAGCGACTTTTTCAAATACGCAATGATGTCGGCACGATCGTCATCCAATTTCTTGTTGTTCTCCACCAACTCGTTGTTCTTCTCCTCCAACTCTGTGGTCAAACTACGAAGTCTGGCCAATTTCCTATTCAGGTCGGTAATCTGCAACTCGTAGAACGCTTTGTCCACTTCGCTCAGTTCCGGTACTTCCTCTTTCTTCTCCTTCTTCTTTTTCTTCTTCTTGTCTTTCTTTTTGGGAGGCATCTTCAGGCCGTCTCACCACTCACGTAAATGTCAGGTGTATAAGGTCGATGTATATTATATATGCGGACACACACAAAAAAAAACTACTATTTGTTTGGTTGCTGTGGATACGGAGGTATCGATTCTTATTAGGGGGTGAGTTTTTATGAGTTTCCGGTTGGGTAGGAAAATGCGTTTCCATTTTTTTGCTTTATAGTGTTTGGTCGTTAAAGGGGGAAATGAAAATGTTGTTTTTACCTCGCAGAACTTGGCGCCGTATCGCGGGGGCGGCGAATCGCAGAATCGGTACCTGTTCCTGGTGCCACCTATGCAGGTGCTGGAGCACTGAGTCCATTCACTCCAAGCGCCCCATCCGCCACTCTCAGACTCTGCAATCGAATCAAAATTAGCAATTCAGTTCACTTCAGAAAATTTCATCATTTATTTTCAGCAACTATTTTATATACACTAACTTTCTGTATTTTCAGAATTAAAACCACTTCTTTAGGATTTATACCAGAAGAAATCGTACGGAATGATCGACGCTAATGAGTCGGAAAGAGGAGTTCCCTTCTTTTCACCCTTATCAGCGCCGCACCAGTCGTGAAAAGAAACAATAACAAATGAGCGCATTCTATTTACGAAAGGGTTGCGCCGCCACCTAAAGATTAACTGAATGCATTAACAATAACAACAAAAAGGATTCGCCCCCGGGTGGACTCGAACCACCAACCTTTCGGTTAACAGCCGAACGCGCTAACCAATTGCGCCACGGAGGCTATATTTTTTCACGATAAAATACTCCACAGAGATACGTCCACACAAATCCAGTATATTAATCTTTTGTACACATAATTAAACATTTAATTAAGTCCAATTAGTATCCATAATTATTTCCAAGACGAATTTTAATCACTTTCAAGCGTTTCCGTGGTGTAGTGGTTATCACATCCGCCTAACACGCGGAAGGTCCCCGGTTCGATCCCGGGCGGAAACACGTTTTGCCCCAATCAAACGGTAAATTAAAAAATAGTGAATTAATTATGTCATCAATTATTACTTATATAGTCAGGGTAACGTAATTAGTGTTTTGTAAATTTATAATTTTTGTGTACAACACCGAAGACATAAAACTAAAATACGTTTGATTCTATTATTAATTATGATCATAATTATAGTTATTACTGTTAATTACTTCTAATCGAGTTCTACTTCTTGTCTAGTAAACCAATCTCACCGAGGTCTAATGATCTCCAATCATCAATAACTTTTTCTATTAATATCGTTAAACCTTTTAAACTTAATTAAATAATATCAATACTTAATAGTAAATTATTCAATTGATTTTAATTTGAATTGAACAATTAGTGAATGAAACTACTACCTTGGAAAAAAAATTAGTGAAGATAGTAGACTTCAAGTATTATTTACAAATTGATGATGATTTGGTTGCCTATGTCTATTATTTGGAAATTTAAAAAATAATATTTATTTCGGATTTATTATGAAAAAAAAAACTTGGATTTTCTAATTGGAAATTAGAACTCTTTGATTGAATTAAAACCAATTGAGGAAATATTATTATCTTGCTGGTTGAATAAATTTAAATTAAGTAAAATCTAATATTTGAGCGAACATAATAATTGGTAGTAGCCTCATAAACCAAACCCACTTATACAATGAATTACACGAAACGAAACCTGCATAATCAAGTTACGTTTTGAGCAACTTTGCTTGACGGCGGCATCGCGACGTAATTAATTAATTTAATCTTGAAAGTTTCGGAAAACGCCCGCCCGTACGATCTCCGGCGATTAATTTTCATACTTCGTTAAAAGCGATTAAAAGTTGCGCTCGCAATTAATCAGATTTAGAGCGGTGGCCTTTCTACCTATTTCAACCGATCCAACCAATTTGGAAGCAGTCGTTTGATGTTAGAGTGGATGAAAGTGCTTGCTTACCTGTGACTGGAAGCGTCGGAACGCAATCCATGCGGACGTCTGCTACTGCTCCAGTTATGGCTTGGCTCACGTAAACGAAGCAGTACTCCACGTAGCGTTCGCTGAAGAGGTCGCAATCAAAGTGCAAGCTGTGCTGACCTCTGCTGACGCGCTGCTCCGCCACGTATTCTAAGGTAGTCGGAGGAGCCAAAGAGGCGACGTTGGCGCGAAGCCTGGCGAAGAGACGAACGCGATCTCCGGATGCCAGGATGCAGGAAGGATATTGGAAAAGGACTGAGATACCTTCGTGAGTCTCGCATGGGAATATGCTCCGTGCGTGGACGTTGAACACGAATTGCTCACTCCAATCAGCCTGAAACAGAAACAAATACATCATTAAATCTGCAAAATACTAACAAAAACAAACGTGAAAGAAAATTCAATTTAATTCATCATCGAAATATTCTCCATTTTCTTAGGCGACAGTCCATTCTTCTTGCTCCTAGGGGGTTGAGGGTTGTGAGAACGAAGTATGTTAGGAATTTGATATAAAACGGGGTGGATTTCTGCTAATAAGTACGCTCGTCGTCGCAACCGACTGCAAGCGAAGGGACGGAGGATCGAGCTCGTCTTCTTCGTGGTGGAATGAGGGGTGTAGAATTAAAAGGAAATTTCGAATTCCCATCTCCTCTCGACTGCGTGAAATTCCAAAAGAAAAAAGACGAGAAAGGAGAGAAGTAAATAAATAGATGAAGATATAAAAAGAAATGCAAAAGCAAACACAGCGCTTCGCAGCGATGAACTTCGCACCCTGAACTTTATTAAATACTACTCAGAATGGAGGCGAAATGGAAACCGGCTGAAATGTCAGCCACGCTTCACAACTTAAATAATGTGTTCACTGTCCTTTTTTTTTTTTGGCTAAAATAAATAATTATATCACAACTGCGTTATTATATATATTTAATATAATTAATTTTTAAAACAACATTTTTTTATTTCCATCACTTTTTCAATTATATTTAAAAATTTCTTCACAAATATAAAAAATAAAAACTAAATCCCATTTCATTTCCTTGATTTTGTCAAATTTTATATAAAATATAAACTTTGAATTAGATGCAATGCATCATGTTCACATCTCAGTATTTTCAATTTGAGTAATGCATGCAATCATTCAAACGCATTATTCTAGATGTGCGCCATCATCAACTATGGAAATTGCGATGGATGCAATCGTTTAATCAGTATTTAGAACTATGACAAGATCTTTAGTTGATCTGTTTCATCACAATTTTAACAGTTATATAATAGACTTTGAAAATGTATATAAAACAAACTATATTTATATATGAATGATTTTTTTTTTGGGAATGTATTCAATATGGATAGTGTAATTATATTAAGTCTATATAATAAAGCTATGTAAACGTTGAAGGGGTTTTAGAACGAGGAGAATTGTTAATTGTAAGGAGCAAGAAAAGGGAATAGGAGTCGAAAAAGAAAAAAAGATGAGAGAGGAGAGGGTAACATTAAGAAAACGAATGTGCTGGTATACAGTTAAGTTAATTAGATTACCTTGACGTAGGCGGCGGTGTGTGGTAGGGTCGGCGTGGGGGCGGTGGGCCTCAGGACGAGGGAGTAGTGTCCTGCAAGACCGAAGAGTTCGCATCGCAGGGTCAGAACCCTGCGGCCTGGAAAACCGCGCACCTGCTCAGAATACAGCACCTGCAAATCGGGCGCGAAAGCGCACACCCGCGCACACAAACACAAATTACAACCCCATTAACGAAACGAGCGAACTTTGTTTGCTCTAAGGACATTCAATTACTCAGGCTGCGGCTGACGCTTAAGCCCCATAACCACTTTAGTATTCTTTCTTTCTTTCCTTCTTTCAGGACAAATGTTGCGGACTGCTGCACTCTTATATCAATGACCGGGAGATGCTTGCCCTTTTCCGGCAATTTGTCCGCACTATTTGCGGTTTCTACCCTCTATTTGTATTACTATTCAGCGTCGATAAGTTTGCGCTAACAAATGTTACTGATCTATTCGTTTCAATATAATAGCTACAAATCACATGAAAGGTTCGCTACAAATCTTTCATTATGGTTTATAGTGATGATTATGGCAAATATGGTAACTACGAAATTGATATGTATTACGTAATCACCTGGACGTTTGTCTTGTTCTTAGGATCATCGTCTTCGCAGGTTAACAACGAATGTCCGCAGTAGTGCAGCTCCAACCAGAACTCGGGGATGGCGGAGGCAGGACTATCCGCAACCGGAGGACAAACGACCTCCGGGAATTCGAGGATGGCCATCACCGGACTCTCCGGATACGTCTGGACGTGTTCCGGGGTCAGAGATAGCTGCGGCATCGGCCATCGTACATCCAGACCTCTGGTTATTACCTCGTCGGCGTCTTCATCGGTGCCGTTGCTCCTCGAACTCTGCTTCTGCAACAACAACAAAAATTAGAAGACATTTATTTCCAGGCACGAAACATCAATGGTACGAGGTTTCAGGGCATCACGAAACGACTGTAAAAAGGCATTAAACTCATCAGCCCTCAACATTTTATTCGTCTTCCGTTTCCTGCGCTCCGTTTTTAACGTTCGACCCCCGGCAGAAATTATTACGTCTGGGCATAAAACATTCAACGCCTTTACCGGATTTACGACTCCTAATTTAATTTATACCCCGCAGCAGCCTCTAATACCAGTTGCCACGTCGTATGGAATCATATTTCTTGCAATTACAGTTAAGCAATGTTCTCAATCTCGAACATAATTACAGAAATTCATTGATTTAGATTCAAAGTTTTCAACGTTTTGATGTTGTGAACATTAAATTGAACCAAATATTATAATTTCTTTGTCTATCAGATTTTTTACTTTACAGGAGCAACTTTGCAAAATTGAATCCGATACATTAATTACAAATTCTCCATTATTCGTAACAATTTAACCATAAAATAAACTATCAAGTCTCTCTCTCTTTATTTCTTAATATTATTACAAGATTTAGTATTTAGTACTTGGCTGCATCAAAAGATAATTTAATGGCATGAAAAGTCTGCGAGCGAGACACGAAATTAAACTCGTTTCGAGCGTTAAACTTTCTGCCGGATTACGTATAATTATAGACGTTCCACTATTACGAAACTTTTAGTGCAGTTCGCACGAGCCTAGGAACGTTGCATTTATTTTGTTACATAAAGCATTCACCACATCAAAATAACTTCTACTTTCAGAACGTATATAATTTGAATATACGAAATGATATAATTATTAGTTGTTTTTGAATGCATTTTTCTTTGATCCTAGAATACAAATAGTTAATAGATTTTTTTTAATTATTAAATCAATCAAACAAAGTTGTTTACATAACGTATTTGTTACATAATATACTTAGTAGAATTCTGGAGTACGAAAGAACAAACAATTCCTTATCTTTCTCTGTCTCTTCTATAAATTTAATTGAATGGGTAAACTGTGTACGACTCTTGTTGTTTTTTCTTCTACTTCTTTTGGAACGTTTTAACCGAATGCATATGTAATAAGTGGATTGTATGCGGACGGGTTTTGTTTGTTTTGCGTCCGCTCCACGCGCATTTGCATTTCCGAAGAAACGGAAACGCCATTACGGAAATTGATTCGAAATTATTACGACCGACGTTTTCCAACGCCATTACTATTATTATTATTATTGCAATCGTCGAATTGCCATACACACAAACAAACGTTGACCTAGGATATTCAAGTGTTATAAACAAAAATATATTTAAATATTTGTTGTTTTAATGTCTGACAAAGAATTCAGTTAAATTTTGTAATTGAATAAATATGCAAGAAATATGCAACAAATGATCTTGAAGCTATTACCTTGATCATTGCTAATTGCTACTTCAGTGAAACCTCTTAAGTAGTACACTAAATGGGAGGATCAATAAGCCACGTTCTGAAGCAAAACTTCAACTATAACACAAAATCTATTATGAAAGATTTTCTTTTAAAAGAAAGTTTGAACTTTTATTATTCTCCCAATTACCAATTTAACCGATTCATTAATAAGCAGCAAGATTTTATTGTAGATTTAAGCATTTCTTTATAAAAGAAAATGCAAGTAATAATTTGGAAATTGTGACTATTTTTTTGATATTTGCAAACAAGTCAGGTGAAAACCGATATTAATGATTGAAAATGCTTTTCTCTCTCTCCATGTTAATGTTAATTAGGGCGTGCACACGACAGACACACCTTCACGCATTGACAAAACCGGATCCGGCCAATTCCATGTCGAATATTTATCACCCAGTCCCGAAATCGAATGTATCAGACATGATTTAGTTAACGACCGTAGATATAAATTCAGCAGGATCCATTACCATCCCAAAAAGATTACAACAACAAAAAAAGGACCGCAATTAATCCGTTATATGAAGTATCCAGTTGTCGAGAATATTATACATAAATATTTATGAGGATCCTCGTACTTCAGTAATAATTAATTAATGGATCTAGTGAGAGATATATAGAGCATTAACGTTCTCTCTTTTTTTTTATATTTATTACCTTTTTTTTTCACTCGTATTTAGGGGTGGATTTCCATTAGCCGAGGCCGGAAATAAACATGGGAAAAGAGCTTCGCGCTAGGTGGAAAGTTTTTAGATATAAATCATTATTAATTCTTCAGAAAAAATAAGATCAATAAATCGATGTTTCGGGGATTTCTAAATATAGAACTCCTTACCAAAATAACATCGCCCGTTTCGTTTACATTCGTGATCAATAGTTTCGTGATGTGTCAATTTACAATGCTTTTATCACCAATTTTTTTGTTGAGTTCAAATTAAAGATATTTTTATCCCATTATATAAATGCAATTTTTATCCATAATTATAAACAATTAAATGTATGAAAAACGTATTTTTTTTCATATTAAAAATTAATAACTAATTATTTGTTTAACAAAAGAAAATTCTATAAATGAAAATTTTTAATTATGAAAGGATGAACTTAATTCTACTGGTTTATTAGATTCGGAGGACTGCGACTGCTTGCAAATCATCATCATTATAACTTAATTTCATTAATCAGTCTTCGCGTAAGTTCGTCTGTGATTAACCGCTTGACATCTGTATGCTTCATTAGTTTTGCATGAATCCCCAACATTTTCATACAGAATTCACAAGAATATTAGAAATTCTCAAAGGAATATTTTACGTTCTATAAATTGAATTTCTTTGTTAATATTCAGTCGAAAACTCACTAAATTTCTATACAATTGTGACTGTGATAATCAAAATTTTGTGGATGCGCCGGGTAAATACAATACAGTGAAACATCGCTTAATAAATCGTTCAAAAATTTCCGAATTATTACTCGTATATTTGAAAATACACATAATATCCGGGATTTTTTTTCCCATCCTCACTCGTTAAGCGAGTCATTTTACAATTAATTTTGCTCGTTAAACGAGGTTCTACTGTATATCACACTGCATTGTGTTGTTACTTTTTTTTTACCTTTAATAGGACGTAGTATTCGCCGCCCTTGGAGAAGTACCCGCACGGAATTCGGACGAGGGTCGAGTTCAAGGCCAGATTTCGGGCCTCCGGCAGAACGGGAAACGTGGCGAGTGTCTGCGTCGCATCGCCCTCAACTCTCGACAACTGCAGCAGCAGAGGCGGAAAGGACGAGGATTTAACTTGAAGATGCAGATCGCCGCTCAACGCTGTATGCGACGGTGGCATCAGAATCTCCAAACCCGGAATTTTTCCATCTGAAAAACAACAACAACAAATTGAACAATTTTCTTATTATTTAATTAATTTCTGGGAAATATTTTAGATTATAATAATTACGACCAAATTGCATCTTCTTAAAACGTTAAAACATGCAATTTCCAAAACTATTTAACGTAATTATGAGAACGCGAGAGGTGTTTAATAACTGCAAGTCCATAAAAACTAATTTTACAACGGAAATTCTCGGAGAGCGGCGAGAGATAGTGTTTGACAATTTTTTTTCTCCATCTTCATCTTCTCTTCGTTCGGTAATTGCGGTTTCTTTTTTTCGTGGTGGGGGCTTTATTACATCAGAAGCAATTTGCTTCGTGCGTTCTCGTCGCTCCTGTAAAATTCATGGGACAAAGTGTACCGGCCCATTGGGCACGTCCTTTTCCTTCCTTCCTTACTTCTCTTAAGGGCAGACACTTTCGATTTTCCCCGGGTCATTTCATCACGCTCAAGAGCCACACAGAAAACAGATAAAACTACTACAGTTTCGATACTACAGTCCTATGATTAATTCCGCAACCGCAATTCTACAAATTACATTTCGCATGCGACATTCGCAGTTCCGTCTTTGCTGCCACCAAATTATTATTATTATTACACGTTGGCTCATATGCAGTAAACTTTGAACATCAATGAGAAGTGAACAATGGTTACCGAAACGCTGATATCGATCGTAAATTCAACTTCAATCCGTAATCTCACTGAAACATTCAATTACTCACATTCAATCATTGCTTAATTAGTCATAAAATTTACTATTTCTTCATGCAAGTATAAAATAACTAAAATCTTATTTCTTAGATTTATTTACTAAAATTTGCATACGCATTTTCAGCGAGCGAAAATTATTCCATTGAACCATCAATTTCCAAGCGCATCTCTATTTATTTCCCGTTGCTTGCAGTCGTTTAGTTAACTTCGAAATCTGTGATTTATTAAAGTTATCCCATTTTTTTTATGTATTGTACTTATTTTCACCGTCGTTTCCACATCAATATTCCGCGCTTCGAATTTGTGCGGAAATGAAACAGATTCTCGTGCGAAAACTAAATAAATCGAAGTTTTAAAGAGAGCACAAGCCCGGCAATTTGCGAATGGCATGGGGAAACTGAGGAAAACGGGATTAATTGGAGAAAATCCGATGGAAAATAGGATTAAAACTGGGCGCATTGTTGCGTTGCGGAGGGGCGAAACATTTAAATTAACAGAGAGTTTCGACCGATTCTCCTGATCAATGGCTGTATTATTCCTAGCTTCAAAAGCAACAGAAGGAGGAAGAAACACCGTTCGTAAACCGAAGATAGTAAGCTATGTTCATCCTCTGGGAGAGGGATTAAACTTTAGTTTATTACGAATTAATTTTACAATTTTAATCCGAGCATTTCATACAGCGATGTTTTTAATTAATGTTAATTATTGAATCATTGCAGACGAAATTAAGCAGACATTCGCATAAAACAGATATAAATTAATTAATTAAATAATTAACGTCAATTATCTAGTTTTAAATAACTTCTACACTCATTTCATTAATTTTTATCATTCCATTTACGTTTCTTATTTGTTAAAATATGAAAAAAAGCACAAATTAAATTATTTTATCTGATTTGTCGATTATAAATTCAATTACGAATTGCATTACATTTATTTATACACGTTTTTTTTGTTGTTTGCAACGGAAAATAATGGATTGTGCTAATGGAAACATTGTAAACTAGATGCAATAACAATTCGGGATATTTTCATTGATTATGTTGTATCGGTTTTGCGTGGAACAACATTTATTGTTATGATATTCCGGAGGGTTGTGTTGGGTTCGGTTTGGGTGGACAAAAAAAAATATATATATAAATACAGAACGTTATTTAGTAATTGGTCGATTAATCATCGTTCGTGGGGGTAAATGAATTGTGGGGAGAATGGAATGGTTTTTCTGACCGAAGAAGGTTTCATTATCCCAAATGGGATTCTGACCACCTATACACACATACAACTACCGTTCTTCCACGTGGAAAGACGTTCCCCTAGTCGAAGAAAGAATGGACTTGTGGTAAATGGAGCAGCAGCAACGCACAAATCCCCCATGGAGTGTGTAGCTCCCTAATCTTGACTCGTGTCGTAAAAGCAAGTAAACATTGGTTATACAAGGATTAAGGAAGAAATGCAATTATTTGAGTGATACTCAAGAACCACAGAAGATCAATACAGCAATACCTCGTATAGTCCGGCAATACATTATTATTTAAATGTGAAAAGCTTCAAGAATTTTTTTTATTTAAATATGAAAGCATATTAGTGTCTTGTTTGTTTCATAGTTCAAAAGAAATTTATAGTTTATTTACTGAAAAGATTTCGCACTTTGAAACATCAAAGGAAAATATCGCAAAGCAAATTTTATAACACCTTTTATACTACATTTTTTTCTTCTTATAAAGTAATTTCCTCTAAAATAAAATGTTCGTTAAAAGTACAAATTTTCAATTTCCTTAAATCTAATATCAATTGCAATTATCAAATTTCACAATTATTTCTGAAATTATTTATAAATTTGATCATTATATTTATATAATTAATATTGATTTGACAATTTTTATTTTTTTTTATTCAGTTATTATTGAAATATTTAGAAAATTGACTAAAACTGACTATTTTTGTTATATTTTTATATATTTTTTATATACAATACAGCACATTCTCTAATATAATTATAGAATTAGTTAAAATCAAAAGAAATTTTACATATTTAAAATTATAATTAGAAATTCATTTTCATTCATTCAATAATAAACCGAAATGTTAATCTAATCTTGTAGCTGAAGTACGGAATTTCCTATTAAACCGAGCAAATAAAACTGAATGCGAAATTTCATCGAGAAATTCGATCGAGAAAGAGAGAAAAAAAGGGTAGCTGTATGAAACTCAAGGCTATTCCGACATTAATTACAATTAGTTGCGAAACGCGAAGATCCGAAGGGAACGTTCCTTTCCTTATCATATCTGGCGCGGTCATGATTAATTATTCCCGAATGGAAATTGATAAAATCTGTGTCGTATTGTGCGACCGACTTATTTTAATTAGTCACCGAACAAAAGGACCGACCTCCTTCTCATTGTCTTCTCACCACTCTGTTCCCAATCCTCATCCTTTTTTTCCTCACTCTCACTTGGACTTATTGTTCGAAAAAAAAAATAAGATTAGCTTCCTAAGGGTGAGAAAACTAGGATGAGATTATGCTAATATTGGGCAGCCAATTAGGTCCGGATTAAATTCCGTCTTTATCCGTCTCTTATCCTCCAAGGCGTTGTATTACAAAAAAAGTAATGGAGAAGGCTATAAAAAGAAAAGAAAAAGGAAAAAGGATGCATGGGGGGACAGGTTATAGTTTGGAAGCTTGCAGTGCGCGAATTGCACCCGCGGGGCTTCGAGGTCCTTCCATTACAATATTTTTCCAACTCCCCCATCTTCTTCTCGTGTCACGCTTCCCCGTAATCCATAATATTTGCTGACTTCATGCTCTTCCATCCCATCCTTCTCTCTCCTTCCTTTAATCCTCATTCCCCAAGTTGCAACTCGCCCTCAAGAGCATTGTAGTAATAATTCCCGTGTTATTATATACTATAAAAGATCGCTCGTTACACTTCTCAAAAGAAATTAAAATTTCTAGCGCTCCGCAACAAAAGCGAACGAATCCTATCTTAATTACTCGAAACAATACTAGAATTTTTTTATTTATTACAGTCTTCAACCCTATGCGCATATTTCATTGTAAATATAAATGTTTACTTTACATTCAGGCAAAAGCTGAAAACTTTATTATTACTTTACTTTTATATTTGAATTTTTTAAGAAGAAAGCAAAAAAAAATGTTTCACCTCCTCTACAGTCTAGACTTCCTCTTTATGTTTGTCAACTACGTGACCCCATTTTTAGGAGAAAAATACAATCTAGTAAAACCATAAGTTACAATGAAACAATACAACTGAAAATGTATATAATTTAACTATTTGTTTATATTATATAACCTTTTTAAATAATCAATAACAATTATTTTCTCACTTATTAAAAAGTACACATTACACAATCAAGTATGAATGAAAAAGAAGAGTATAATTTAATTATTGAATTTACTGTTTCAATTTATAATATTTTTACCGGACTGTTTGAAGCCGCACTAATCGAGGACTTTAATATGAAGAGCGCGAAACGATACTTAATTGATAAAAAGCAAAATAATAATATAATTTTTTGTGTTAATTTTTGTGTCCCATTAGGAGACGTATTTCTATAAAGTAATTTAAGGGGAATTTTCAAAAAAAAATCAATTATTTTTCATACATTTTTCAAAAGTTTTAATTCTTAATTTGTATTAATTTTTATTGAATTTCATTTGATTAAACATTATTGTAATATTTCTGTTTTGTTTGTAAATATTTCTGATTTTTACATTCATTTTACAAAATTTTGTGTCAAATTTTACTGTGTTATTTTGTTGTCTCATTTATTTCACATCATATTTTGAAAGCACATTTATTATTGCAATAAGAGACCAATACGATTCAATAGATATTTTCAGAGATTGCTCAAATTTAGATGGATTAGATTTAGGCGAAGAATATCGTTTTGTCCGATTCGACGCGCGATTTGATTGATCGCAGCAACGAAAGGAAGAAAAAAAAACAGACTTTTGAAGTAAAAACTGTATAAAAATATCGCTAAGGGAGGAAGAATTGCATTCTCCATTCTTCGCTCGGCCGGAAATTGATTTATATACGGCACACTTCGCGTCGTCGGGTTTCCGTTTCGGCAAATCCAATAACCGAATAGATTTTTATTATACAACATTATTTATCAAATTCAGTCCAAAAAAACATTTGTTTATTTTCCACCTTTTGTCCATCCACAAAAATTCAATTCATCTATTATTAGAAAAACCAGACGCAACAATAGCAAAATTCGAAATAAATAATTGTGTATTGACTTTAT